AAAGGATTGGTTTGAAACACAATAAGTAAGTTTCTTTTTATCTAACAGCAGAAACAAGAAAACGAAAATGTTTTCATAAAATAGTTTAATAAATGACGTCATGGCATGAATATTCTTCCCGCACCAACAAATCACGTCTTTGGTAAAAAGTTAGAAGCGACGCTTACCCTCGTATCGACCCTAAGGTGGTGGTGATGTGGGACTGAAGATATACTCTGGGACCGGTCGTGTGTGATGCGGATCTTCTTATAGGGCGGCGGGTCTGCGGGCGGGGGGTGGTGTGCTGGCGGCGCGGGGGGAGGGAGGTAGTTGCCCAGCAGGGAGATACGAGGTGTACTACTCCCGCCGCGGTACTCGCCCACGCTGCCGCCGCCTCGGCCGTATCCATCCCTGGAAAATTGTATAAGAATTGGTCAGTTGTTTGCTTCAATCTTTTTTCTTTTTTTTTTTTGTTACAATACCAAGCGATGTGATTGACAAGTCGTGCGCCTGGTGGTAAGCGACACGCCTATCCATAACAGTTGCAGTGCCACTCAGAGCTTTAACTCGCAAAGATCTGAGACATAAGTTGGCAAGTCCCAAGTGCCTGTAATTTCACCAGCACCCTTACCCTTCTAAACCGGTACGCAGTAAAGCTCGCATTGCTGCTTGGCGGCAGAAATAGTCAACGTGGCAGTACTACCCTGGACGAACTCTTTTACAAGGAGCTCTGTCGCTACTGTCATAGGTATCTTTGCAAGTTTAAAAAAATCCAATGGGAACCAACGTTTCCATTGTGTTTGGTTTGGATGTGATCATGCTTCTTTTGTAATCTGACCTTGCACGGTCAACGACCTACAATTTCAATGAGCATTGTAAAAGACAATATTAGGTACCATAAAACCATTGTATATTGCCAAATTTCAACGCCAAGTTATTACAGACAATATGTGGAATTGAAAACGTCGTGAGCTAACCTGTGAAACCCTTTTCAACGTCAAGTTTTTCTCCAAGCCATATACCTCGCGATGAAAGAATAGAACATAGTATTATTTATAAAGAAAGAGAATTCGTAACGCAAGCATACATAGATAAGGTACATACGTAATCGTTTACTTAGTATAAACATAGCAACACTGTTAGGTTTCTAACATTTAATTATAAGGCTTTATGATTGTATAATAATAAAGGTTTTTTCCATTTGTTTGTTTTAAACAACACTGTGAAGCTTCCTTACTGAAACTTATATTCATATTGTCACCTGCTCTACTATAAAAGATCTTTAGAATGGATGTGGATTAAATCGAAATAGATCAAATAATCTGATCATTGAAATTGACGAATTCTCGGAATTGAAACTTTACCCGGAATCAGAACTCTATACCCTGAATTTACCCTACTTTTTTAATTCTGATATTATAACTTACCAAAGACGAGGCTTAATGCATATAAAATCAATTGGACTCAAAACTTGGCGTATGCCTATTGATCTAAAACTAACAAAAGGAAAATTCACCAAGACTTAACTCATCGCCCCGCACTAAGGAAACCCTGTATCGCGGGCACCATAGACAGAACCACAAATTACACCCAAACTCACGGGAGAAATAAATGTAAGCCATACAATTATTTCTCCCGGCCCGAGAATCGAACCGGGGACCTCTGCGTGGCAGCATGGTAACCGTTCGGCTACGAAAGCAGTGGCTGTATAGTTTTAAACCTTTACGGAAAGAATTATGTAATTAAAAAAGCAACATTAATGAGGGTCTGACGGTAGGAAAGGGGGCATTAGGGAAACTATACGTAAAACAATTTTTAAATTTGGTTTTAAATGTTTTTTGAGTTTTTTTATACCAATTTAAAAAAAATCGACCGTATTTTTCTGTCCTGTAGCCTTGGTAAATGAAAATTGTTCAACTTTGGAAAATATCGCCTGCGGAGAAAAATTAATAAGAACAAAAAATGGTTATTCAAGTTAGGTCAATATATCCGAAACAAGAATCTATCTGAGACTAAAAACAAACAAAATAAAAAAATCTTAAAAAAAATTTTAGTCCAGTTTCCATAGCGCTACCTTTCGTACAATACTACGTTCGTTTTTTCAAGCAAACCAACGACCAGGCCCTTTGCCGGTTCCGCAATTGCAGCTGATTTATTAGATTAAATTATGTCCTAATAAATTTATCTTATCTTACATTGTTGTAAACACTAACAAAAACAAAGAATCTCAGTAGACAGTCCCAATAATTTGGGTGAACATACGAAAGTCAATCCGTACCAGAATTTGCGACCATTCAGGTGGCCTCGCTTCCGTTTGCAAAACATTTCCCAAACCGTAGCAAATAGCTCAATTTTACAGCGAAATGCGACATATTTTCACTCGTTGTTGTCAACGTGTCGGACTTGACAATTGCGTGACGACAGTTGATTGGAAATTACGTCATAGTTGAGATAAAAAATAATGACGTTGATTGGAGGGTTTGATTTGCAAAGACGTAAAAGATAAACAAGAAGGCTCGTCTTGCAACAACAAAATATACAATAGACGAATAGAATATACCACAGGAATATACTAATGATATCGTCTGCTTAAAAGCAAAAACCACATAAGTGACTTTTCCACAAAAATCTCCAAATTATGTACCACTTGTAAGAAATTCACCATCTTTCTGCAGATAGAACTCTTATTAAGTTTATAGCTTTTTGTTATTGAGTTTCACGTGCAGAAAGATAGTGATTTTCTTATCTCAGCTATGCAAATTAAAGACTTTTTAAGGAAAATGTCACTTATGTGGTTTTACCTTTAAACAGACGATATACAAACAAATCAAATGGATAAACTTCTTTTTTGTATTCCATTACACAAATTAATTGTCTTCGATAGTGCTTCTTACGGAATGACATAAAATTGGATAACATTCTTGATTTTTCAGGAGATCTGGTAAAGAATTTATTACTCTCAGTATTGGCTGTATGGCGCATTAGCGCCTTTGCCTTTTCCAATGGAAAAAACAGTACCAAAAATAAAAATCAAAAAATTTATGATTGAATTATAGACATATTATAGAAGATGACAAAGTGCGTTAGCGTCGCTCCTATATACTAAATCTATGGCCTCGCTGTTATTCTGTTATAGCCAATAATAGTTAAGTTCCTAAGACTATGGAAACCAAAGGACATGTAATATTAACATATATAAATCAGCCGTTATATGTATATGATGCATTTAGACGGTGAAAACATAAACATTTTATTGTCTTTGTTTAACTACTGCGTGCCATAGTAAGCCAAAAGAGATAGCACTACATTGATTTATGTCCAACGCGGGAATCGAAAATACGTAACGTCATCTTAAATGCCAACTGTCCTCATTTTACCTTTTTTGGAGTACCCTTTGACATCCGTATCCGGTTGTCAAAGGGCAGTACATCAAATGTCAAAACCAATGTTTGGCCAAATGTTTTAGTGAATTATTCGCATGAATTTTAGTGAAATTGACAAAAATATTGACAGTGAGAACAATTAAGTATTGATAAAAATGCGTTGCTGCGCAGCATTCAAGCAGCAATCAACTGAACGTTACATTACACCGGCATGTGATATTTTTCTGCGTATAAATCATACAATAGCTGAAATATCTCATGTAATTAGACTTATTTAAGTAGTTTATTCATAAGTCTTGCCGAATTTTGGTTTGGTTACTTTAGATTACCTGCTTGTTAATATATTTTGATGATTGTTGATAACGATTATTTTGAGATAGTGTTGTTCTTGTAAGCAGACATTTTATCGATATTCTGTTTTTAAAATAATTCACTACGAGGTTTTTATTATTTCATTATTATTATTTTAAAGTTTACCTATAAATGAAAAAACAAAGAAAGAATGGTTGTAAATTATTGGAATGCCGAATGTAAATATTTCATCAAATACCATCTTCGTTGTTCGCTCCATTCAAATTTAAATACAACTTTGAATGTAACTAGATTACGATATTATGATATTGGTAAATAACTTTATATTTAATTTTGATTAAAATGGCTCATTACTTGCCTAGTAATAATAGCCTAGTATTAATCATACTTTGATTACAGTAAACTACACTGCAGACATAAAACACAGTAACAACAGTTTCAACATTCAAGCTACATATATTTGCATGTCGACATCGACTTATCTATGATTATGGTATAACACTAAATTGCCATTTGTGGTGGACATTTTTGGTTTAGGTAGGGACGTACGGAATAACCGTAGATAAGGCAGTTACTTTCCTTTATTTTTTTCCATCCACAATGAGTACACACTAATAATTATCAATGTGTTGTGACATAAGCGTTGGTCAATATATTTAGTTTAGGCAACATGCAGCTAGATGGCGTCCAACCGTTTTCCGAATCAATGATGCAAATGAGGCAATGATGATGCCCTGGAACTATACAAATGTATGACATTCATCTATACGTCAACTTGCACGAACAGTACTACAAAACCGACCTCAAAAGTCATTCACTCCCCAATTTGCCACCCTTAGAGGTGGAATATTAAATGGGACCACTAAGAAAGTACTCTCTTTCAAACGAAAAAAGAATCATCAAAATCGGTTCATAAAATTATCGCGTAACCTACATACAGGAAAAAACATACGGTGAACAATAAATGTAATGAAAACGCGATGATACTTTAGGGCGCACGTAGCCACCAACAAAGTGCGACGCGCGCAACGTAAATAACTTCGATATGTCAAATACATACTTCACTTTCCTGTTGTCAATTGTGTAACTTACTTATTTTCCAATGCTGTAACTAGAGGTGGGCGTTTAAATGAAAAGCACTTTAAAAAAGTTTGCTTTTTAAAATAAGAGCATATGCACGCTTTCATTTTTAACCGACTTCAAAAAAGGAGGAGGTTCTCAATTCGACTGTATGTTTCTTTTTTGTTTTTTTTTACGTATGTTACGCGATAACTCCGGTAGTTGTGAACTGATTTTCCGCATTCTTTTTTTGTTGGAAAGGGGGTACCTCCATAGTATTCCCATTTCATTTTGAAGAAAATCATCCACCTCTAATGGTGGCTGTTCACGCATGAAGATTCATTTTTATAAATAGCACCTAAATTTTACTAAGTAACAATTATTTTAATGGTTGATTTTGCTATTTCTCCAATTCAAAGGGTTTTTCTCTCCATATACTTTGAGTAGTGAGAACCGATTTTTATTATCTCCAGTATCAAGTCCTGTATAGTGGCGAATTTAAGGATGTTTCAATAAAATTTAGCAAATAGACGTAATTCCACGTACTTTTGAGGTCGGTTTTTTTAGTACTCTGTACTGAGATTATATGCGTAAGCGTTGGTCACTGGTCCGTTCTACACTCAACAATTTCATTTTTTACAAAGTGCCTAAGTTTCA